AGTAGAGGTAAATTTTTGGGGCTGGAGCTGGTTGTATCTTGAAAAATTCGTAAGGAGGGGCATTCGTAACTCGAGGCACTACTGAACTACTTATACAGTATTATACAATAATACTGTTCCAGCTTACATACAAATTTGACTTAAGGACAGACTTTGGTAACAGAACTCACTCTTAAACTGGGGACAACCTGTAGCGTTAGTCCCTTATCTTGGATGGCGATAAAGTGCAATTGTAGTAGGGGGCAAAAATCCTTGCCTGTATTTTGCAGCTTATCTTTTGCACAGGTTCATTCCCAAGTACTTTTCTGTACATGAAATTCAGATTCTACCAAGTGAACCCAACTAGGAGAAAAGTGCTAGGGGAGGAAGAAAAACAGACTGTGGGGAAGTGAAATAAGAAAGGCAAAGAACAATTGTTTAGTATTCCTCATCAACACACTCTTTTGCTATTAAAATCAGACTACCCACTCATCTCCATTTCTTGTATCATGAGGACAGACCTGTATGTGCAAGATAGGCCTCCTGCAGTCACATTTAGTTTCATCCCTAGCATGAGATCATCTTGCAGAAAACAGGAAGGTTTTTAAAAGTGTTGATGTCAAGGGCAAAGGCTCTTGTGTCTCAATACACAGATAAGAAATGGTGGGTGAAAGCAAGATAGGGGAAGCCTTTTATTAAACAGAATAGGTGATGGATTTATGGAATGTACAGAATGGTTCAAATACAGGAGAGTGAACAATGCAAAATCCTTCTAAGCATTTGTTCTTTTATCAACCAGGAGTCAAAGTTAACTTGAAAGGATCCTTAATTTTGCTAGATTTTAACTCCTTAATGTTAACATTATAAGCAGATCAGAAAAATGCCACTACCTATTTTATATTAATTTGGGGGAAAGAGAGAGAAAGAGATTAAGGTTGCCTTAATTCTTATATATTTATTTAATAAATAAGCTCATATTTGAGAAACAGTTAATAAAATAATTCAACGCAGGGTTAACAGAAAAGGAAAGTCAGGGGATGCCAGGACATTACATATACCTCTGTGCACTCATCTCTCTCATCAATCAGCCTCTTAAGGTGGAAAACCATATTTCTGGAAAGTGACTCTAGTTCTTCTGGAGCCATATCTGGTAGCTCTAGCCACTGCAAGTCAAATACATTCTCCTGATTATGGGTTACCTGAAATTAAGAAAAAGAGTAAAAAGCCATTAACATGGTATTTGTTTATTTCTAGGTATGAATGATAGATAATTCAGCCAACAAGTCTGTTCCTGGCCTTGGTATAATAAATAAACAACAGACCAAACTGTACAGATTTGTTAGCCACGCCTACTAGAATAAGAAGCTAGCATAAACAATTGGAACTGCATGTACCAGATCACCATTAGCTCTTTGTAACCCACTCCAGTGACTGAAAGCCATTATTAAGATTTCTTCTCCATGGTCTTTGCTCTTGGCTTGCTCTATTTTTGCATACCATCTCCACATGTTGTTCCTGCCCATGCTGATCAACTTAACTTTAAGTTCCAGTGCACATATTAGGGTTCTGTATAGTAAGTTATGTTTAAGAATGCCAGCTAAGTAAATTACATTCTAATAACCTTCCACTATAATATCTGATAAACCACTGACATCTGCTTATGCCAATATGAATATTTGGACTTTTATCTTGCTTTGTCAAATTATTCTTCCTAAACCTGAACACTTTGACTGCCAACAGGAGAAAACAGTTAGAGGCCAATCTGTAATGCATGAGATTGTTTTTTGTTCCTTCAGGAGAACTAACTTCACGAAGAGCCTTCCCCAACCTGGAACTTTCCAAATCTGCTGCATTACAACTCCTAGAATTCCCAGTCAATATGAGGGTCCTAAGTGAGAATTCTGAGTTGCAGTTTAAAATATCTGAAGGGCATCAGATCGGGAAGTCTTGACTGGAGTGAAACAAATCCCACACAGAGTACATAATGACAGCTGAAGTGAAGGCAAACACTTGAATATTAATTGAGCATAAATACATTTATCCTGTTTTAACAATAAATGAAGACTGATGTAATCATGCATCTGTTGCACACTGTGTGAGATATAATCTTTACAGTCCAAGCTTTCATTAAAAAACCCAAGAAGCAAAAAAATAAAAAATAAAAAAAATCAGCAAATCTTTAGAATTAGCCTTCCCCAACCCAGTACTTTGTGTGGGGACTACAAAGCCTAGAATTCCCAGCATAACTAAATCTGAAGGGCAAATTGGAGAAGGATACCCAAAAAGTTGGAGAATCCAAGTTATCAGACAAAATGAACACCTATTAATCTGCTCCTGCCTTTGACAGTTTTAGCCAATAAATGAAATCATTGCTATCACTTGTGCGTTATTTTAGTGAAGAAACATTGTATTCATTCTAAGCCATTTATTAGATTTTCCTTAATGAAAATATAGTTGCTGGGATATAAAGGAAAATTAGAAATCCAGGATCTTAGTACAGATATTAAAACAGTCAAAATGGATGTGTTTATGGGCTATGTTTGTTTTTCTACTAATAGCCAGTGGCCAAAATAAATAAAATTTAAATTATAAAGTTAAATATAGCTGTACTTTTGTAATATTTACTTAAAATCAAAGAGCAATTTTAAAAAATAAAAAAGAATGATCTTTTAATGTAAGGTCTTATTTCTTCACCCACATAATACAAGTTCTTCCCGATATGGTAAACATTTAAAATGCAAACCAATGCAACATACCAACACAAATGACATCAACCATCAATGTAGTATGCTGGTTAAGGCGTTGGATTTGGACTAGGGAGACTGAGGTTTAAATCTCCACTTCAACACAGGGTTGATTGGGTGACTCTAAGCCAGTTGCTCTCTTTAAAAAAACCAGCTTGCACACAGTTGTTGTGGGGTTAATAAAATGAGGCAAGACACCCCTACCCCATGTACCCTGCCTGGAGTTCTCAAGAGAAAAACAGAATATAAATACAATAATGAGAATTACAGGACAAGAGTACAGTGACTGAGAAATGCGCCTGGATTACACAACCTGAAGAAGAGCTAACGGTTGTTAAAGCAACATTCAGGTGGGAGATCATATATAACATTATACTTTGATATTGCTACCTAGTTTCCTGACATTCTTTTTAAAAGAATGGTGGTGGCTATGAACTTCATTACAGCAATAGGACAATTAACTACAGGCTAGGTTAGATAAACAGAATAAGGAAAAGGCATAATCTGGACAAGAGAAGGGAAGCCCTATCATAAAAATCTGGTATTAGAATTTTAAGGTAATTAGAATCTTACCTCCTGGATGTGTGAAACAATTGCAGCTTGAGTTTCAATATCTAGCTGTTTTATTCTTTCAATGAATTCTTCTTTTCTTTCACACTATAAGCAGGAAAAAAATAATGAACACATCCTACAAAAGTTTGTCAGGCATCAAAAATACAAAGCATTTTTACTATTCTGAATATTTAAAAGATCAATTAAGTTGTGAAAACTGGGGAAGGACCAAGAAATTTCATCACTATTTAGAATGTTCATGTTAAGTATGTTTTAAATAGTTAATACATTATTTCCAAGTGCTGAAGATGCAAGTCCATACCATGTAACAAATGATCAACCTTATATCCTGGTTTGCATAGTTATTTTAACAGAATCTTTCCCATTATACAAATTTTCCAATAACACATGATCTCTTCTTCTCGTGCATAACTGTTGTGGCATTTGGCATTTTAAAATGGGACTGAAGAATTGGAAATGAAATTTAAAATGTATATAACACAATAGAATGAATGTCTAAATTTGGTAAATGTTGCCAATCACACCTGAATACTTATAACATCAAATTAACTCTGTGGATGTCTAAAGCGTAATTCTCAGCTTTCATAACACAAACCCAGAAATTTGGAACACAATTTCTTCCAAATATATGAGAAGACAGTCATCATTCACATGTGAATACTAACGTATGTTAAATTTCATATTTTGACTGATGAAATATATGCGTATGAAAGAATCCAGTGAACAGTAAGATTTGTGTTTTATCCTTTACTGTAATATAATGTACACAGAAGTCTAATTCCAAAATTCTGTATAGCCATGAGCTACAATATGATTTTAATACTAGTGGCCAAGATAAAATAAACTTTTAGGTTTAATTTTCTATTAGGACTATGGAGCACTTCTGATTTGACCTCCAAAAGGTGTTTGATGTGAATGTTATTTCAGTCTGGAACATCTTAAAGCAGCTGCTATGAAGAGTATCTTTTGAAAATCAACTCTAAAGTGCTACACAGTCTTATTTCCTATAGTCTATTATTTTTTGAGTAAGCACAAGGTGTATTTTACATTAAAACAGCAGTAACCTTTTATTTAATTATAGGATGGGGATGACCCACTATAATATTTTTGACTCTAAAATGCTCGTGTCATTTAGTTCAAATTTCTGAACTTTAAATAAGATTTCTTTGTACTATGTATTACTAAGTATTTTCTTTGTACTTAAACCAGTCATTAGGATGAAACCGGTTATAGAAAATGGCTTGCTTTGGTTTACTTTCAATGTAAGAAGAGCATTGCAAAATGATTTTTAGTGTATAGCAAAAATCCAGTAACTTTGCTATTTTATTCCAACCGACAAATTATTCTTAATCAATTGTATCCAACATGAGTAATTTTTTTTTTTTTTTTTTTTAGTGAAACAACAGCATTAAGAGAAAGACTGTGAGCATTTTGTTACAAGGGTTACCATGTGGTTGTTAAGGGACTTGAAGACCCGGTGCTGCCATTTGGCTTGGGGGGAGGAGGGGAGACATTGAGTGTGGGATGGCTAGTCCCTTAGAAACCTTTCATCTCCAGCCCGGAAACCATCTCCCTCTTGGACTTTTTCTTGGTAATGTCTTTCTTGTAAAGTTTTTATGTCTTGTAAAGTTTTTATGTTTTTTTCAATCTGATATGTATTTATTATTTTAATGGACTGCGTGAGCCGCCCAGAGTCCCCCATTAGGGGGAGATGGGTGGAGATAAATTTAATAAAGAAATAAAGAAATATACACTGATGCCATGAATCACTCAATCATATTTCTACTCTGCTGCACTCAAAATTGACTCTCAGCAGCTTACAGTATATAAAATATTAAAACATACGGAGTTCAATTAAAACCAGTCCAAATCACAGTAACAATGATCACATCAATCCCCACATAAAAACATAAAGACACAAAAAGCAAGAAAAAAAAACAAGATGGTATCAGGTATAAACTTAAGAAAAGCCCCTCCAAATCCACTCTGTTTTTAATATTTTCCAGAAAACCAGTCAGCCTGATCTCTGTCAGGAGGCTGTTCCTAAGTACTAGTACCGACGCAAAAAAACACCTCCCCTGAACCTTTCAAAAATGGGAGATTATAAATTGTTTCTCCCTAACTGTTCTATCAAGTCAGGCTGATACTAGCTGGAGCAAACACTCCTGTAAGTATTCAGGTGACAAGCCAGAAAAAGCTTCATAGGTCAATACCAGCATCTTAAGTTGTACCCAGGAAATAACCAGTGCAGGACCTGCTGAATCAGTGTTATATGCTCCCAACAAGGGGAGTCAGTAGTCAAACTCTAGTCAAATTCTAGTCAAACTACTAGAGTTTTTTGAGAATATAAATACGTATGTGGATAAGGGCAAGCCAGTAGATATCATCTACTTAGATTTTCAAAAAGCCTTTGATAAAGTCCCTCATCAGACTTCTCAGTAAACTTAGCAGCCATGGAATAAAAGGGCAGGTCTTCTTGTGGATAAGCAACCAGCTACATAATAGAAAACAAAGAGAAGGAGTAAATGGACATTTCTCTCAATGGAAGGATGTAACTAGTGGGGTCCTCCAAGGTCTGGTGCTTTTAATATATTTATAAATAATCTGGAATTGGGTGTACTAGAATACCAAGTCTGCTGATGACACTATATTGTTCAGAATGGCAAAAACAGTAAGGAACTGCAAATAGCTCCTAAGGGATCTCTGCATATTAGGGGAGTGAGTGTCAAAATGGCAGACGTCATTCAATGTGAGCAAGTGCAAAGTGATGCAACATATTAGTGCCAGAAATTCTACTTATACAAACTAATGGGATCAGAGCTAGCAGTGACTGATGAGGAAAGAGATCTTAGGGTAATAGTAAACAGTTTAATGAAGGTGTTGACACAGTATACATTCCCTCTAAAAAAGGCAAACAGAACATTAGGGATAACAAGAAATGGTAATGAAAATAGAAATGTCAATATTATAGTGCCCTTATATACAGGTGAAACTCGAAAAATTAGAATATCGTGCAAATGTTCATTTATGTCAGT